TCACTGCCTTCTTGTTCTAACTCTGTGGTGTGCCAGCTACGCATACCCATTTTGTGGACGTGTAAAGTAAGGCTCCGGAAGTTGAAATCAGTTGGCTGTGGTCTCAGGGCTGAGATCTGTCCACCCCCACCAGGCAGGCGGAACAAGCCTTCACAGCTGAGGAAGATGCAGTAGCCGCAGCCTGGGAGCACCGTGACGTGATGTGATGTGACACGCTGTGGTTGGGACATCTGAGCCAGGTAGCCCTGCCCTGCTGTGAGCCCTCAGCATCACACTCCTAGCACCTCACTGTCAAGCGGGTCACACTTCTGGGCACAGCTGCAGCATCCCCAGGGTGAGCATGGGCCCCGGTTCTCTTTACCAGCAAAGACAATACTGAATACTCACCCTTGGCATCATAGGCCTCAAATGGCTCTTTGAACAGAAAGGAACTGAGACAGGATGGGACAGGATGGGACACCTCACCCTTTGCCTGGGCATCTCTTCTTCAGCCCCTCAGGTCCAGTGAATAGGCACCTCCTCCAGGAAGTGCACCTTGGTGTTTTTGTTTTGTTTTGTTTTCCAAAAAGCTTTTCTTTTTCTAGAAAAAAGTATGCAGAAAGTAAAAATGGATCTTATATCTCCTTCCCTTACCCCTCAAAGATGTCTTCTTATTGAAATCTTGCATTTGAACAAAATTCTGGCCAATAGAATACAGAAGCACATTAAAAAAAAAATTCACCATGACCAAGTGGGATTCATAACAGGTATACAAGGATGGTTCAACAGAAGAAAAACAATCAACATAATTCTCTATATTAACAAAGTAAATAACAAGAAACATATGATCTTAGCAATCGATGCAGAAAAGGCATTTGACAAAATACAACACCCTTTCCTGATAAAGACACCCAGAAAAATTGGAATAGAAGGAAATTTCTGTAACATAGTGAAAAGTACGTAAGCAAAACAAAGAGCCAACATCATTCTCAATGGAGAAAGACCATGGAAAATGGAAAAACATTTTCCTTGCAAACAAGTACCAGACAAGGATGTCCACTGTCATCACTTCTTTTCAATATTATATTGGAAGTGCTTGCTAGGGTAATATGACAAGAGAAGGAAATAATAGGCATCCAGATCAGCAAAGAGATGGTTAAACTGTCATAATATGCAGATGATATGACAGTGTACATAGAAAACTCCAAGGACTCAACAAAAAAACAAAAACAAAAACTGTTAATCGGCCAATTTAGTAGAGTGGCAGGATATAAGCTCAATATCCAAAATCAATAGGACTCCTCTACAGTAGCAAAAAGAACTCAGAGAAGGAAATCAAGAAATCAATACCATTTACAATAGCCAACCACAAATTTGAGATACTTGAGAGTGAACCTAACTAGAGATACAAAAGACCTATACAAAGAAAACTACAGAGCATTTCTGCAAGACATAATGAAACACCTTAAAAAATGGGGAAATGTGCCCTGTTCATGGATAGGAAGACTCAATATTGTGAAAATGACAATCCTATCAAAAGCAATCTACATATTCAACACAATCCCAATCCAGATACCAAATTCCTTTTTCAAGGAGAATGAAAGTAAATTATCACATTTATTTGGAGAGGCAAGAGACCCTGAATAAGCAAAACACTTCTGAGAAAAATTAGTTTGGAGGCATAGCACTCCCTGACCTCAAAACCTACTACACAGCAGTGGTAACCAAAACATGGTACTGGTACAATAACAGGCACATCAGACAATGGAACAGAATTGAGAACCCAGAAACAGACCCAGCTATCAATGGTCAACTCATATTAAACAAAGAAATCAAAGTTTTCAAATGGGGAAATGATAACCTCTTCTACAAATGGTGCTGGCAAAACTGGACTTCCACCTGCAGAAAGCTGAAACAGAATCCACATCTCACACCATACACAAAAATCACCTCAAGGTGGATCAGAGACCTGGGAGTAAAGCCCAAAACCAAAACATTCATAAGAAACAAACTGAGATCAAGCTTAGAAGCACTAGTCCAAGGTATAAAGAGGCTGCCAAATACAACCAGAAATGCACAATCTAAAGAGGATAAAATTGACGCATGGGACCTTCTAAAGAATAAATCCATGTGTGCATCAAAAACTTTTTCCAACAGTGTGAAAAGAAAACCTACAGACTGGGAACAAACGTTTGGTGATTCCATCTCAGACAAGAGTCTTATAACAAAAGTTTACAGACTACTCCCAGGCCTCCACAAGGAAAAGACTGATAACCCAATTACAAAATGGGTGAAAGACACGGAAAGAATTTTCACAGAGGAAAATATTAGAACGGCAAACAGACACATGAAGAAAAACTCTAAATCGCTGATAATAAGAGAGATGCAAATCAAAACCGCAATGAGTTTAACTCACTCAAGTAACAGTGGCAAAGTTTAACAGGGCAGCGAGTAATAAATGCTGGAGAGGATGTGGCGAGAAAAGGAACTCTTATACATTCTTGGTAGGACTGTAAAATGGTACAACCATTCTGGAACGCAGTGTGGCACTTCCTCGAAAAGCTGAACATAGAAATCCCATACAACCAGCTATCCCACTACTTGGAATATACCCTGAGAAAATGAGAACTGAGGCACAAATGGAGATTTGTACACCATTGTTCATAGCACCATTATTCACCATCGCAAGACTATGGAAACAGCCCAAATGTTCAAGCACAAACTAATGGATTGAGAAATGATGGTACATTCACACAATAGAATACTATGCCACACACAGGAACAATGATTTTGTAAATTATTACCTAACTTTGGAGGGACTGGAGAGCATTATGCTGAGTGAACGAACTCAGCCCTACAAGGATATTGTATAAAACCATTATTGTAGGTTGAGTATAAGGGTCCAAGAGGGGTGGGAGAGGTTGGAAGCAGAGGGATGAGGATGTGCAGGGGGAGGGGAGGGATTAATCATGGGGCTGTACAATTTGATGGATGGTAGGTTGAGGGAAATTGAAAGAGTTTGCTCTTGAAACAATGTATTCTAATTTTGTAAATAAACTAGTAGAATTTTTTTTAAACTTGCTTTTGGGTGAGATACTTACTAGAATTTAAGAGTTCATATTGATACATTGTTGTTAGTTAAAAATGAAACCAAACCAACTGTCTTTGAGTGGATTGCAACTCACAGCTACTGTGCAGGACAGAGCAAAACTGGCCCACTGCAATTCTGTCTCCTCTGCCTCCCACAGAGCGGCTGCTGGGTTCGAACAGACAACAGCCTTGGGTCAGCAGCTCTTGTGTTACCCATTCACCACCAGTACTCCTTGTTGAGATTACAGCCAAGACAAGCTATGGCACAAATCTCCTCTGTAACACAGGGGTCACCAAGATTTGGAACTCACTCAACAGGACTGAGTTGGACTGTTGTGGGGTTTTTCATGATATCATGTGTCCACAACTATAATATCATACAGAACAGTCTCACCGCCTTAAAATCACCCTTCACTCCATCTGTTCATCCCTCTCTCTTCTTCCCAGGCCACCTGGCAACCACTGATCACTTTACCAGTTCTATGATTGTGCCTTTTCCAGAATGTTCTATAACTGGAATTGTACAGTATGTTGTTTTTTCAAGACTGGCTTTTACCACTTATTGTTAGGCACTGTCAAATTGGGTAGGACTCATAGCCTAATGCTTAGCAATAGATATTTCAGGACCTACCATGTTTTTCTGGAGCATTGCTGGCTTTGTGATAAGGATCTGTGCTGCCATCCCAAAGGCACACAGTTTGAATCCTCCAGATGCTCTGCAGGACAAAGATGGGTTATCTCACAATCCCAGAGGTACGTGGTTCAAATCCACCAGATGCTCTGCTGAAGAAGGAGGGGGCAATCTCCTCCTGTACCAGTCCGATCTGATTTGACGGTACACAAAAATAATACAATAAAATTTAAAAAAAAAGATGGGTTATCTCTCCCTGCACAATTAAACTGCCCCTGAAAACTCCCTAGAGAGTCAGCTCTGAGTGAGTACCAACTCGACAGTACACATCAACATGTCTTTCTATAAGAAACCATGGCTTTTTCGAAGATGGCACCAAAAGCAAAGAAGGAAGCCCCTGCTCCTCCCAAAACTGAAGCCAAAGCAAAGGCATTAAAGGCCAAGAAGGCAGTCCTGAAGGGCGTCCACAGCCAAAAAAAAAAAAAAGATCCGCACGTCACCCACGTTCCGGCGGCCTAAGATGCTGAGACTCTGAAGGCAGCCCAAATACCCCCGGAAGAGCGCTCCCAGGAGAAACAAGCTTGACCATTATGTCATCATCAAATTTCCCCTGACCACTGAGTCAGCCATGAAGAAGATAGAAGATAACAACAGATTTATGTTCATTGTGGATGTCAAGGCCAACAAGCACCAAATTAAACAAGCTGTAAAGAAGCTCTATGACAATGATGTGGCTAAGGTCAACACTTTGATTAGGCCTAATGGAGAGAAGAAGGCCTATGTTCGACTTGTTCTTGACTATGATGCTTTGGATGTTGCCAACAAAATTGGGATCATCTAAACTGAGTCCAGCGGGCTAATTCTAAATATAAATTTTTCTCACCATAAAAAAGAAAAAGAAAAAAAGAAACCATGTGCCAGGGAACTCTGGTGGCCTAGAGATAAAAAGCTGCACTGCAATCCCAGAGGTGTGTGGTTAGAATCCACCTGATCCTCTGCTGGAGAAGGAGGGACAATCTGCTCTTGTACCAGTCAGATCTGATTTGACGGTTCATGCACAAAATAATAAAATAAAAAATTAAAAAAAAAATTATGGTGGTGAGTTCCCCAGCTGTCCCGTGGATCAGTCTCTTGCTTCAACCTGTTTGGATGGAACAAACCCGGCGACCTCCCCCCTTCCAGCCTCCGACTATCCTCCAGCTTCTTCTCCAGGCGTAGCCTCGGGACCATCTCAACCATCTCCTATTTTCTGTACCAGCTAGCACTTTATTTTTTGTTAGCCCCAAAACCTTGACAAACTATGAACTCTCAGATCCGTCAAATTTATTCCGCCGAAGCAGAAGCTGGCGTCAACCGTCTGGTCAACCTGCACCTGCGGGCCTCTTACACCTACCTCTCTCTGGGTTTTTATTTTGACCGCGATGATGTGGTCTTGGAAGGCGTGGGACACTTCTTCCGCGAGTTGGCGAAGGAGAAGTGCGAGGATGCCGAGCGGTTCTTGAAGCTGCAAAAGCATAGCGGCAGCCGTGTCCTCTTCCAAGATATCCAGAAGCCATCCCAGGATGAGTGGGGTGAAACCCTGGACGCCATGCAAGCAGCGCCGGCCTTGGAGAAAAACCTAAGCCAGGCCCTTCTGGATCTGCACGCCGTGGGTTCCTCCCACACTGACCCCCATCTCTGTGACTTTCTGGAGAACCACTTCCTGGATGAGGAAGTCAAATTGCTGAAGAGGATGGGTGACCATCTGACCAACATTAGAAGCCTGGGCAGCCCCCAGGCTGGGCTGGGCGAGTATCTCTTTGAGCGTCTCACCCTCAAGGTGAGACCTAGGGGTCTGCGGGGACCTGCAGGAGGGAACCTCTGCATCCCGCTGCCATCAGCAGCAAGCTTCTCCATGCTAACCTGATGTAGAATCTTATCTACTCAGAAGCCCTTCGCCCAAGCCTTGGACCAAATGAAACATTAAAGCTTTTTGCAACAGCTGCTAAAAAAAAAAAAACAACAACAACAAAACAAAAAACACATGGTGGCTTGGAGGGTTACATAGTGCAGAGTTGCCAACTGAAAGTCAATGTTCCAAACCCGTGACCCAATCCAGGGAAGCGTGGGAATGAGGGGCAGCCTGCTCCTATTACAGCTCAGTGTCTCAGAGTCGGGGAGCATCCATGGACTGACCTCCACAACACCGGCCATGTGTCTTTCTGAATCTCAACCGCAAACTGCTTCTTTTTGTTAAATAAGATCCCATCGGATGAATGGCCCACGGTGTGTTTATCCAGTCCCGTATTTCAAGACATCTTGGTTGCTTCCCGTTGTCAGCAGTCATTTTTAAAAGCTGCCCTGAACCCTCGCAGTAGAAGGGGTTTGGAAATAGATATTTTAGGGAGAAGGCAGTTTGCTGGATTGTTAGGTAAATGTGGGGAGAAAAGGAGAATATAGGAACAAAAGTTAGTCTCCGGAGAAAGACATCATGTTTGGCCATAAGGTTAGCTAAAAAGCGTCAGGTCCTCCAGGAGGGGGATGGACGGTGCAGCAGTGGCTCCAGCACGTGGCCATTGTGAGGTGGGCCTGGCCTGGGCAGGGCCCCACTCTGTCATCCACAGAGCAGCATGACATGGAACTGAGCTGAGGGCCTCTAACAACAACATGGTCAGCCCATGTTGCCATTTCAAAGAGACAGTCAGATTGTCTTCCAAGGGGACTGTCCCCTTCTGCATCCCCACCAGCACGAATGGGCTGTCCATCTGCGTCCTCGACACCATCTGATGCTGCTGCGCCTTGATTTTCCATCACGCCTCTTGCCAGCAAGCCCATCATCCAGTGTCAGCTGTCTAAGTCCCCGGGGCCCTCTGTGTCCCTCGGGGCAGAGGCCACACTTAGTTGCCTGAGTGAGTGATGAATTGCTAGCCAAGCAGGATGAAGGAAGGAATGACGACGCCGAGGCAAGCGTGTGTGGCCTTGGCTGGTGGAGTGTTGGGGTGTGTGGAAGGCAGGAGGAGCCGTGAGAGGGGAGCTGTGGTTTCCGGGCCAGCTGAGTCACTGGAAAAGCTGCCCGTGTATACTGGTTACTCCATGCACTGTGGTGTTGCAGACCGAGGGTAAAGTATTTTGATAATTATTAATAATGAGACAGCCATCCAGGAATGAGATAGAGCAGAGAGCACGAAAAACAAGGGACCAGCAGTTCTCCACTGAAGAGCCTTAAGCCATGCCTCTGTGTATTTATTGATAACCAGGGGAAACAAGTCTTAAAATGAATTCCTTGTAAATGAAGCCAATTTTTTCTCTATTGTCAGCCTAATGCTTTAGCTTAGCAAGTATTTCACATGTAATAACACTCCCTCTGTAGGGGGCCCCTAGCTGTCTCTTGTCTGCAGGGAACAATCAGCTCATTTTCTGTGAGAAATCCTAACTTATGAATTTGTAATTCCTTCAATTCCCAAACAAGGGTTTTCATATAATATTTGGTATGAAGTTTGGCTTCACATACCGTGGTGCCTGCCCTGACCTGTGCCACCCCCGAGATCACACACAGATCAAGCCCTTGTGGGTTTTCATTGACTGACTTCCAGAAGTGGATTGCCAGGCCTTTCTTCTTACTCTGCCTGTGTTTGGAAACTCTGCTGACACCCCAGTAGCATGCAGTCAACGCTCCAGCCTCCATGGTCAGGTGGGAGGTGGTTACATGTTGGGGGTGTTTGAAGGGAATTGAGCCCAGTGGGAGTCAGGAGCTGGACCACTGAGGTGCTGGGACCTCTAGACAGACCCAGAAATCATACATGGACATGCGAGTGTGTGCCTATGGGGCACACCAGCTACAGGGCGTGTTTGTGCTTGTGTCTTGCAGGTGGTGGGTTGCATGTTTGCTGTGTGCACCTTTCTTCCGAGGCACCCCTGCATGCATCCCAACCCCCAGGCAATCAGCTCACAGCTGAGTGAATTAGTCACTTGCACCCACTCTCCGCCTCCCTGGGAACTGCAGGCCTCCATTTCCCTGTCTGTGAAGTGGGGCCCACACCAGGCAGCACCTCGAGGCTTTGTTCTTCAGGACCTGGAGATGAGAGCAGTGCTTGACCTACAAGAAAGTTCCCAACAGGCGAGCTGGTGGCTGGTGAGGCAGAGAATCTGGCCTCTACTGGGACTGTGGATGAGGGCTAATCTTGTGAATAAACTGCTGAAACTAAATTTAGAACAAAAAGTGGCCAGAGAGGATGTACATTGTAAGACTCTTCTGAATAGAAACAACCCAGAGAGCTGTCGGAAAGGGAACTGCCAGATTATGGCTTTGAAACTGTAACTCCGTGGGGCGGAGAGCAATCTCAGTCAGGCCACCGGGTCAAGAGAGCTCTTGACAAGAGCAGGCTCCGGCCAGTGAGCAGAGCACCGCGGGGCCAGGGAGCAGAACAAGCGGTCTCTGGCCCAGAAGCAGGAAGCTGGAGTCAGACTCTGCGGCCAGAGGGTGCACACACTTGTGGCTGTACGTTGTTCTGTCCAATTTGCATTTTCCATGTAATAGGAAAGAGAAGAGGGGGGAAACACCATGAAAGTCAGAATTGTCAGGTGCACAGACACAAAGACAGAAACCAGAGCTGTCAGGAAGAAGGGAAATTGGCCTGATGACATCAAGGTCAGGAAACGGTGGTTCCCTGCCGAGGAACTGAGGAACCAGGATGGGGAAGACCCAGGCAGGCCTGGGACCCCTGCGAGGAGGGAGCAGGCCACCCTGCTGGGAAGAGCAGGGGCCAGAGGAAACTCCGAAGTCCACTGCCAACACCTGGCAGGGACTCTCCAGGGGGGCAGCCCCCAGGTAAAGATGGAGTCACAGTCAGGGCAGCCACAGGACAGGATGGACAAGGAGACATAGCAGAGGGAGAGAAAAGGAGAGGGAAGGGGGGGAACACAGAGAGAGAGGGAGAGAGGGAGACAGGGAGAAGGAGAGACATGGGGACAGTCGCCAGAGCAGGACAGACAAGGAGGTGCACCATGGGGGAAGAGGGACATGGAGAGGGAGGGAGACAGTGAGAGAGAGAGACATGGGGATAGCCACCAGAGGCACACAGCAAGACACAGGGACACACGTTCAAGGCACCATGCTATACATGGACGCGTGCACACACACACATGCACAAACTGACAGATGCAGTAGTCATGAGAGGCGTCCTCAGGCACTCAATGACACAAGATGATGCAGGGACCCAGGTTCAGAGTGAAGCCCACCGAGGGGACACAGATGAATGCACCGCCTATAATCACAGAAGCCCACAGACGAGACACAGACCGAGACACACATGAACACACCGCCTATAATCACAGAAGCCCACAGAGAGGACATAGACCGAGACACACATGAACATGCCACCACACAGGCACAAAGCCAGTCCCCACACCAGCCATAGGCACCTGCAAGGACATACCTAGGGACACGAGACACATGACCCAGGAGCACACACACCCCATCACAGACACAGAGACACGTCACATGGATGGGAACTGGGTTCCCAAAAATTACATACTGAAAGCCTAACTGCTGTATTGCTGTGTTAAGGAATCCTGGGGGCAGTAATTCAGCACTTGGCTTCTAACCAAAAGATCAAAGGTGGGGGGGAGGGGGGAAATGAAGTAAAGAAGAGATAAATAATGAACACTGCAGTGAAACTGATGACTGAAAGATGACTTAAACAGATTTAAAAGGAATATATGAATAGGTATTATGTGCATGGCAACAGTCCATAATAAGAGCAGCAGAACAAAGTGGATGAGGGCTTGGGGTGGGGAGGAAATTGTGCAACAATGAAAGACTTTTCTTTCAAAGAGATAATCAAACTGGAGGGGGAGGGGAGGGAGGAAAATGTGCAACAATGAATGAATGAATGGAAATCCAAGTTCTCTATCAACTTTTGTTAAAAATCTCAATAAAAATAAAAACTTTTTTAAAAGATCATAGGTTCAAACCTGCCAAGAATTCTGAGAATGCAAAACAACTATGAGATATCAGCTCACCCCAGTCAGAATAGCAAAATATAACAGAAAAGCAAGCAGCAAATGCTGGTGAGGTTGTGGAGAAACTGGAACCCTTATTCACCATTGATGGGACTGTAAAATGGTGCAACCACTGTGGAAGATGGTATGGCGCTTTCTCAAAAAGTTGCAAATACAGATATTATTTGACCCAGCAATTCCACTATTGGGAATATAGCCCAAAGAGACCATAACTACCATCCAAGCAGATATATGCACACCATGTTTATCGCGGCTTTGATCACAATAGCAAGGAACTGGAAGCAACCTAAGTGCCTATCAACAAACAAATGGATAGAGAAGCTGTGGTATATTCGCACAATGGAATACTATGCTGCATTGAAAAACAAGGAACTCATGCAATATTATTCAAATGGGTGACCCTGGAGGACATTATGCTGAGTGAAGTATCTCAGTCACAAAAAGACAAATACAGCATGGTGTCACTGTTGTAAAACAGGAATGACCTCAGGGTTGGGGGGAGACTGAGAAAGATGGGTTCAATAATGTATACTGCACTGAAATAGATGAGAGAAAACTGTTTAAAAGGGATATGTGATTAGGTATTTTTGTCATGACGGGAGTCCAGAGCAAAGGCTCCATAGTGGAGTAGAACTGGGGGGAGGAGTTGTAAAACAATGAAAGAATTTTTCTTTTACTTTTCAACGAGGGTAGTGTACTGAGGGGGGGGGCTGGGAGGGGAGAAAAGTGCAACAATGAATGAATGGAAATCCAAAGTCTCTGTAAATTTTCATTGACATTAATAATAAAAAATGTTTTAAAAAAAAAAGCATTCTGAGAATGATCTATCGGGCATCTGGTCCTGCAGTGGTGATGGCTGAGGAAACTGTGAGGGCCATTCTACTTTGTCACACAACTTCATGGCAC